TGTTAATTTCATTGTTTTAATCTCTAATTAATACTTATTTATGGAATTTTAAGTTTTCATTGGATCTCCATTCATTTGTGCACCTATATGCACAACAATATTTAACCATTTCAACTAATTACTTTAAAAAACTAAAAAAAAAATAACAACACAGTCTAAATAACACCTCTATTTACGTTAGTACGACGCAGACAGATAACCACCCCACAGCGTCTGACCTTGTCTAACACTTGGGATCACCTTTCTCAACAGCTTCCCATAAGCGAGCTCATTCCAGTATTCCCCTCCACTTCAATGTTTGCCACCCAACAGTACCGCCACTCGCGTCATTATTATGTACTTGACGTCTGGCGGTTGTGGTTGCCAGTCCCATCGACGTATATTAATGGACGTGCCTAAGGTGTCAGAATTGTGGTACGACTAAAGAAAGGGATGGAACGAAGCTTCTTGTCATACCACAATTCTGACCGCTAAGGCATGTCCATTAGTAAACGTCGATGGTTTATGGATTTCAGTTTCACAGCTATGATCCTCACTGACAGCTGCAGTAGCCTCTCTTGAGTGACGGTTAACCATGGCTTGTCGACCCTCCTGTCAAAAATAGTGCATACTAAACCTGGCAGGTGGTGGTGTTTGCAGCGTTTAAATATTTTGTAAAATGGGTTACATGAGAAAACCAGTATACGATCATTAAAAATATTATCATTATTTTTATTTGCACTGGAGTAATTAGGGTTGTCTACGTTCAAAAGAAGTTCTTATAAAAATTGGTAACGGTAATAATAATGACTTGTAATGCCTTTACATTGAAGGAGAAATCGGGAAATACCACATGTAAACGTTCAAAAGTCGCGTCCGCCACCGCGAAGCGCGTAAAGAGAAAAATAGGAATTGTCTGTAGTTATCAATGAGAGTATTTTGAAAATGTGAAAATATGAAGTTGGATGTTATCATTTGGCATGGGCAAAGTCAGAAGGAACGCTGATTGAACTGTACTTATACTGTAAAGTAGAATTGAACTCATACTTGTTAGGTAAATGATCCAATATAGCAATTGTTATTGATATACGTATTTCTTTTTAATATGTATACCGCAATAGTTCTCTAAAAGAGAAGTTACCGAATCTCCATTAAAGCTTGCATTCTATATTTTCCGTAATAGTCGAATATTATGAAAAGGAAGAAATTAATAGTGTTTTAATATCGAATTACATGAGAAGAAAAGAGATAGTACATAAATCGTACGGTTCAACTGTAATTGAAAAAATTGTAATTTCCTTGTCGAAATAGTCTAAAATGCAGTTTAGACTTTTGCTGTATTTCTTGGTATTATGTTATTATCAGAAACGTTGTTCATTTAAAAGAAATTAAAATTGTTTTGTTTTTATTATGAGATGTCCAACATACACGTATGATGTTTTTCTGTATTATAGTAACAATATGTGTCGTATGTATAATGTTAAATTGAATAAGGAATATTATTGCAATAATGACTAATGACTTAGCGAATGTTTTGACTGTGGTGGGTGTATGAATAGTATAATGTAAAATAGTCAGCGTTACCGGAACCAGTTTATTTATTAATGATGTAAGTTATATTCACCTATATTTCACACGCTGAGCATTGAGTATCATATTACTCGTACGTTCTAATCTAACCTAATGCCTCATCATTTATATGTATTATGTATTTTCATTTTTTTTTATGTGCAGAAAAAGAAAGAATAATTTTTAGAGTTAGTTGTTAGTTAGTTACTTTTCATCTTTCTAATAATTAAGTTGATTGTAATCTCTAGTTTTTAATAAACGTTTGACTATGTCGCGTTCTTTAATTGAGCTGTACGCGCTCACTTCCAAGCAATTAAACCAGTACACACTTTTTGAGAACAAACTTTATTTCTTATTGCTAACACTTAACTTAATTTATACTTAACACTTAACTTAAAATAAGAGATGGAAAAGATGTAGAAAATTTGGATGTTGAAAGAACAGAATTAATAGTTAGAACTCTCTCGAAATCTGGTACCTGCTCCCTTTTATAGGGACGCTAGAGAAAACGCCATTTAGGACACTTCTCAGAATAGTTTCAAGTACGGTGCCAGTTTTATAGCACCAAGTGCACAAAGTATGACTTACAACGGCAAAAAAAATACAAATTAGTAAATATTACATTTTCTATTTAAGTCTTGATATTTGTTGTTAAATAATGACATGGGGTATAATAATGATATGTGATATTTGATGATAACCTAAAAAAATGTATGATACGAATATTACATACTTATATATGAAACGCTTATTAAACTAAAAATTAACATGTGTGTGGGAACCCATTTGTTTTTATATATTTTATCTTTTTTTTTTCTTTTGCCCGGTACTGTACATAATTATTTAATCAATCAGAAGGCGATACTTGAGTTTGGAAACGCGGGAGGACGTGAGGGCGGCCGGCATTCTGCGACGAGAATCAAATCTGTTGTGACGTATCAAAAAAGGCCGGGGACGCGAATTACAAAAGACGTTAAGATTGCACAATGTTGGTTGGGGTGTCGATGTGTTTTTAGTATTGGTTGTTCTTGTAAATCT